TCTGACAGAAAAACACCACGTTGCAAATTAGTGGTGTCATATAAGTTGCCAACGCCTGGGGTAGGGCAAGTGTTGTGCCCCCTGGTGGACTGGGCAGCTGGGGTGGGGGCATGCACCAGGGGGGGCGCATGCAGAGCCCATGCAGAGGGTGAACTGAGCCCACCCCCAACAGACTCCTTTCCCGCTGCCTCCATCCACCTGCCCACTAGACCAACCCACCTGCCGGGGCTCTGTGCCTGTCATGGGGCGCCTAATTGTGCCCCCCAAAAAAATATACGCCCAGGGGCCACAGCCTCCCTGCCCCCTCCCCGGGTTACACCTTTACATCAAAGGTTATAATCTAAAGGCAATAAGGCGCAGGGTCTCCAACTCAGCACATGTTCTTTTTAGAAATGGTTTATGCCTGAAAGCAGTGGGTTTTTTCCTGGGGGGACGCAGACCCCTAAACATTTTATGAATCTTAATTTTGGCCTCATTGAAGGGCAGTATTTCAATATGAACAGGAAAATGAGAGTATCCCTAGGCATTTATTATTATTATTTTAGAAAAAAGCACTGCCTGAAAGTATTTAGCCCTCTCGTAAAATACCAGGGAAGTGTACGATGACACAGAAGCATTCAAAAACCAATAAAAAGCAGTACAGAGCAATTATTAAAATGACTGAAATTTTCAAACAGCAGCATAGGCCTATCAGGGAATTTGCTTTGACTGTGTGCCTCTGTCAGATATGCTGTCACTTTCTCCGTTTTGGACTACCGTATTTTTTGCCCTATAGGATGCACTTTTTCCCCTCCAAAAATGAAGGGGAAATGTGTGTGTTTCCTATGGGGCGAATGCAGGCTTTCGCTGAAGCCTGGAGAGCAAGAGGGGTCGGTGCTCACCGACCCCTCTCGCTCTCCAGGCTTCAGGAAGCTATCTGCAAGCCTTGGGAGCCCGCGGGAGTTCCCGCCGGGCTCCCATGGCTTGCGGAGAGCTGCCTGCATCCCAAAGCTTGGGTGCGCTGAGCAGTCGCGCCCAGGCTTCGGGTAGCTCTGCACAAGCCACGGGAGGGCTCCCACCACTTGCGGAGAGCAGCCTGTTCTGGGGACTGGGGAAGCTCAGGCTTCCCCCGCCCCAGCCCCACGCCTGGGGGGGAAATAAAATGTCCCTATGGGGCGAAAAATACGGTAACTGGGCTTTAGTATTCCTGTTGCATGCTGTAAATATGCACTGCTCAAGAGCACATCCGTGGTCTGGGGGGGCTCTAATGGGAGGCTTTTGAATTTGGCCGCTGGCTCTACGAAGATCCTAAGCAGATAGCGGAGAGGAGGGAATTGTACAGTGGTACCTCGCAAGACGAAATAATCGTTCCGGCGATTTTTTCTTCTTGGCAATTTTTTGGTCTTGCGAGCACGGTTTCCCATAGGGAATGGATTGAAATCAATCAATGCGTTCCTATGGAACCGCCTTCAGCCAAGGTCCAGGAAGGCTGTTCTGGAAGGCTGGCGGTGGGAAGAAAAGCCTTCTCCCACCTCCCGCCCCGCAAGCTCTGGGGGACAGGAGGGCTTCGCTGCGGCCCGCCAGCATTTTAGATCGCCCGGGACAGCGGAGAAGTCTCCGCTGTCCCGGGAAGGCAGGAGAGGGAGCAAAGACTTTTGCCCCCGACGGCCTTGCAGAAGAGGTCCAGGCCTTCTTCTGAAGAGCCCGGCGGTGGGCAAAAGTCTTTGCTACCGGCCGCCAGCATTTTAAAAGAGGTCCCCGGAGATTTCCCTATGGGCTTTCTTCTTGCGAAGCAAGCCCATAGGGAAATTCGTCTGGCGAAGCACCTTGAAAAACGGCAAACTCTTTCTTCTTGCGAGTTTTCCGTCTTGCGAGGCATTCGTCTTGCGAGGTACCACTGTATAGAGGAGCACAGCTCTGAAGTCAAGACAGCAAAAGTTTGATAGACCAAATCCAGAATTTGAGTCAGCAGAGGAAGGAAATGCTATGAACTGATCCCTGCTGCAAAACTTCCCTGCTACTCTTAAAAACCAGTAAGCTCTATATTTAAAGCTCTTCCCAACAAACTCCAAAGCAGTGTCATTTTCATACAATTCTCCCTTGCCTTGGGAAAACTGGTATGGGTTATCTGTAAGGGCGATGTACCCCTGATGGGCTCACAGCTCCTGGTTGCTTCTGCTTCTGGACAGCGTCTTAAGACATTCGAAGCTGTGAATATAGAACTCGACTGCTAAATCGTGAGCGCACAGACGATAGTTAAGAGTTACAGATATCACTTCAGGCCACAGTGACTCCCTTTTGCGCAAACCAACATTGTGCCAAAAATAACACTGGAAGCACTGAATGGTTTGCGTAGTTCAACCTCGGGGCCTTTTGAAGGCTGTCAGTCTCACATCTAACACATTCATCTGTCACACTTTTTGCAGGTACACTAAAGGTTTGATCACCTGCTTTTAACTGCCTTTTGCAATCGGAACTTCCTTAACAGGTTTCAAGCCATTAGTGCTGATGTATTCTTGAGCAGGCATTCTAAATAGTTGAGAAGTGTCAGTACACCCTGTTTTCTCTATTGTAAACAACCCCACTTCCTCCAGCTGCTTTTAGCCTCTGAATAATTCTTAAAGGAGTTGCTTCCAAGTTAGCGGAACAGAGTAGACCAAATGAGATCTTAAGCGATTGCCGAGCGAAGCAGTGCCATTATTTCCTGTGTCTCGGAAAGGATAATTCTCTAAATGCAGCCCAAAATGGCGCTGGCATTTTAAAGTGGCAGCTTTACATTGTTGGTTTGCATTTTGGGGTTCTCGGTAAAACCTCTGGATTCTCAAAAGTGTTAATCTACTTTGCATCAATCAAGAGTCCAGAAGCTAAGAAGGGCCTTGTTTGAGTGCAAGTTGGAGACACCCAACCTAGCACTGAACCAGTTTAAAAGAAGCAGTTGTAGCCAAGTTAAGGAGAAAAGGAGATTTTCCGGTTATGTAAGGAAGCAGACATAGGGATGCGGGTGGCGCTGTGGGTTAAACCACAGAGCCTAGGACTTGCCGATCAGAAGGTCGGCGGTTCAAATCCCCGCAACAGGATGAGCTCCCGTCGCTCAGTCCCAGCTCCTGCCAACCTAGCAGTTTGAAAGCACGTCAAAGTGCAAGTAGATAAATAGGTACCGCTCTGGCGGGAAGGTAAACGGTGTTTCCGTGCACTGCTCTGGTTTGCCAGAAGCGGCTTAGTCATGCTGGCCACATGACCCGGAAGCTATACGCTGGCTCCCTCGGCCAGTAAAGTGAGATGAGCGCCACAACCCCAGAGTCGGTCACGACTGGACCTAATGGTCAGGGGTCCCTTTACCTTTAAGGAAGCAGACAGTAGACAACTTGTTAGGAAGCAACAGGAGTATACTGCACCTTCCTTACTTACGTGGCTCTTTCCCACTTCATACATGCATTTTCACCAAGGACCAGAACTGTAAGGAGAGCAGCAAACTGAACAGCAGAACATATCAGAACCTTCTTGACCCTGAGAGCCAATTCAGACAATTAAGAATGGAGATTTCAGCACTTGTTCGCTGATCTGAAGTATAAAGTACTGGACTTCTCAGTTGGTTAGACTAAGCACAGTACTGATAATGCCAAGGTTGCAAGTTCTATCCCCATAAGGGAAAACTGCGTCGCGGGGGTGGGGGGGTTGGACTAGTTGATCCTCAGAGGTCCCTTCCAGCTCTACAATTCCACGATTCTATGAATTGGCCCACAGTATGAATTGGTCAACATTCCATATATAGGACAGTGTCGCTGCTTTGTTGCAAATTCAACATATATCCAAAGCCGCCTGTGTTATGTCCCGCTCTTCCGGTGGAGCAGAACAATTTGGCAGAGAGGAAAAAGAGGAGCACCACTGGTTCTTGAGGCTGAGTGAAGGGTATATACACCTATGTGACATGGGTGAGATAGCACAGTTGTGCGTATAGGATTTTCCTAAGTTCCAACATACTGGAATCTGAGTTTTTATGCTAATAGCTTGTGTCTCATGCTTTGAGAATTCCATCATGTAGTACAAACATCACTTGAGGCGACTTTTTTTTTTTAGATATTGAGATGTGAGATCATTGAAAATGTGGAATGCAACACTGAGCTAGCTAGATAGATAGATGAATGGATAGATAGATAGATAGATAGATAGACAGATAGATAGACAGACAGACAGATAGAAGATAGATAGATAGATAGATAGATAGATAGATAGATAGATAGATAGATAGATGATAGATGATTAGATAGATGATAGAGATAGATAGATAGATAGATAGATAGATAGATAGATAGATAGATAGATATAGATAGATAGAGAGATGATAGATAGATAGATGATAGATAGATATAGATAGATGATAGATGATAGACAGATGATAGATAGAGATAGATAGATAGATAGATAGAGGATACATAGATAGATTAGATAGATAGATGATAGATAGATAGATGATAGATAGATATAGATATAGATATAGATATAGATATAGAGATAGATAGATAGATAGATAGATAGATAGATAGATAGATAGATAGATGATAGATAGATTCAAACTCCAATCCTGTATTTTTCCACTCAGAAGAAATAAATCATCATCTGCAACACTATTGGAACATGAAGAATGGAACAAAAGGAATTTGGTACAATGCTTTGAATGAAACTGCTAAGCAGGCGGGGACACACATACCTAAATAAGTCCTTTCAAATAGAGGGGATTTCTTTAAAGCTTAACAGAATAAAAGGGAAAGCAAAGTAGATCACAATTCAAGGCTTGGTATCATTAGAAAAACTGCTAACAGGATCTGGAGGAGGTGGCACTGTAGTTCTCAACTGCAACAGACAACCTTGCAAGTTTCTAGCGGAATACAGCAAGAATTTGGTCACTCCCAGAAAATGGCAACCAATTCAATCTGTAAGCGATGATATTCTTTTCCAGTCACACTCACTAGGTACATAGTAAAGATTTTTGATGACCACTTGAACAAGGAAAGACACTTTAAAAAAAAATCCAACTGGCATATATTTTAATCAGTTTAGAATTTTGAAATCTTCACCCTCTTGGGCTACTAGAGGTAAATTCACAGGAAGAACCAAAGCGCACTGAGATGTTGCATTCTGAAAGGGTGTTCCAAGAAATGAGAAGACTAAACCAACAATCCTGGAATGTCAGCAAGGCAGGCTTTACTGAAATCTGAAAACGCAAAAAGCAAGTTATTTAACAGGACACCTCTAAGCTGCCTTCTATTTGTTGTTGAAGACTGGCACACCCTCTGTGATGTCTCCTAGACAGCTTAGGCACACGTTGGCGTCTTGGCTGGACTACTGCAATACGTGGTACTTAGGGTTGTCATTGAAGATTTCCTGGAAACTCCAGCTAGGACAAAATGCTAGGTTGCTAATTGGGACATAATTTACCTGGTGCTTTCATCATCTGGGCACCAAAGAAAGTGATGGGCATTACTTAGAAAGTAATTGCTTGGGACCTTAATGAAAGACCTTCTGTGCGAATACTTCATTCTTCATTGGAAACACCATCTGAAGTCAGGAGGGTGGTGACTGGAGAAAGGCCTCTTGTGATTGCAGAAAGGAGTATCTCTTCCAAACTAGCTCATCTTTTATGCTCTTTCAGTATAAGGGAGGACTTTTATTTGCTCAGGTATCCCAGCATGCTTTATGAACTGTTTTTAACACTTGTTTTTCTGGATCCAATAGATTTTATGGCTGCTGCTTTTTTTTGCTTTTAATGTTTTATATGGACTTCTATTGTACCTGCTACTACTTAAAACTGTTCGCTCCCCTGGGATCTTATGCTGAAGAGTGGCTAATAAACAAACCCTTTATAAATGACTTATTATTAAAAAGTGGCTCTTTTTCTCACCTACGCTGCCCTACAGGAGAGCAACCGCTTGCTTAAGCACTTAAGCCAAACCCTGACTGCTTTTTATGTGGGCTTGGCTCTCCCTTGTGAAAATCTGGTCCCATTACTCCACGATGTGCATTATAAAACAAACCAGTTGGATCTGCAACAAAAAGTCGCAGCGTTAACTACTCCTGATTAGTGTTTCAGCTGGCCATGCCCTTTTCTCCATTCCATCTCCTCCCATTTTCTGTCCCTCAACCCAATATAGCAGACAGCATTTCATGCCCGCTAAACATTCTCACTCCTCACTACCCCTAATTTCCCCCAAAAAACGTTTTCACCCCCCTCCACTTTTGCAAATCTCAGGGTTCTCCCAAGGCTTCGGATGCCTCCATCTCGTGCACAGATTTTGGCCACAAAAATATGCAGAATCAAAGTACGAATTCACTATTATTATACACAGGATGCGAGAGGCCTGCCCTGTGAGAATGGAGCGTTTGTAAATGGCTCACTCTTACCAGATTTTTCTAGGTGTGCAATTGACGGGCGAGTATCCACACCCTCCCCACTTTTTCAGTCACAATGTTTTATGGCTTGCTGTCCACACCAGTGGGCAAAGTTTGAAGGAATTCATCGGGTTCTCTCAGTCCCTCTTCCTCCATCCTGAACACCCTTTCATTCTGGGCAGGTATGCAAGTATTTCTATAGTTTGTTTGTGTACATTTTTTTTAAAAAAGGGCTATTCATCCCCTTTAGAAATGACAGCGGAAAAACTGCATACACAAGTTTACTAACTGCAGCGTCAAACTCTGCGAGCACTTGAGGAAGCACAAAAGGAACAGCGTAAAACACAGACCGACAACTCGAAACACTCCTCCCTGGTTGAAATGGCCTTCAGCTGTCGTCATTATTGCCTTTGGGCTTCCGCCCGGGCAAAGGAAAAGCCGACTTGTTCTGGGCCTGAGAGAGTTTGCTCGCCAGCACGGCAAAGGGCTCGACCAGCGTCCTTCCGTCGGTCACCGTGACTTCCCACAGCTTCACCTTCTCGAGTTTGGCCCACTGTTGAGCCACGGCCGCCTCGACTTGCCTTTCCTCCACCAGGTCAGCTTTGTTGCCTAAGACAACAATAGAGCCCTGAAAAAAGGAAGGAAGGAAGCAATCCGTCAGAAATGGCAAAGCATGGGCTTTGCATCCGGTTCAGTCAAGGAGCAGAAAGCTGCTCTCTCTCTGAGGAGGCAACATTTAGTTCAATGGACCAATGGGTCAGATTGCATTTTAATTCTAAGGTGCTGCCTTTGATGGAATCTGTATACCACGGGTGAGCTACATAGTGCCCTCCAGATCTTGTTGGTCTACAAATCCCATCACCCCTGTCCGCTGCTCTGCAAGTTAGAGCCGATGCTGTTCGAATGGTCAAGGACAATGGTTACTATAGCCTAGCAACACCTTGTTGGCAATGGTCAGGCATCATGGGTGTTGTAGTCTGACAACACTTGATGATGTTGGCAATGGTCAAGGATCATGGGTATTGTAGTCCAACACTTGATGTTGTGGCAATGGTCAGGGATCATGGGTATTGTAGTCCAACAACACTTGATGTTGTTTGGCAATGGTCAAGGATCATGGATATTGTAGTCCAACAACACTTGATGTTGTTGGGCAATGGTCAGGGATCATGGGTATTGTAGTCCAACAACACTTGATGTTGTTGGCAATGGTCAAGGATCATGGATATTGTAGTCCAACAACACTTGATGTTGTTGGCAATGGTCAAGGATCATGGATATTGTAGTCCAACAACACTTGATGATGTTGGCAATGGTCAGGATCATGGGTATTGTAGTCCCAACACTTGATGTTGTTGGCAATGGTCAGGGATCAGGGATCATGGATATTGTATGTCCAACAACAACTTGATGATGTTGGCAATGGTCAGGGATCATGGGTATTGTAGTCCCAACACTTGATGTTGTTGGCAATGGTCAGGGATCATGGGTATTGTAAGTCTGACAACCCTTGATGTTGTTGGCAATGGTCAAGGATCATGGGTATTGTAGTCTGACAACCCTGATGTTGTTGGCAATGGTCAGGGATCATGGGTATTGTAGTCCGACAACACTTGATGTTGTAGGAAATGGTCAAGGATCATGGGTATTGTAATCCAACAACATCTGTGGGCACCAAATTGGCTACTCCTGCCATATATCAATCCATGTATTCTGTTGCTTAAAAAAAAAAAAAGTCAGACGCTACTAAGATGGTATTAGGTTTCAAGAGGAGCCCAAGATGTCAGCGAAGCAAGGAATTGCTCCCAATTTCTAAAGCCCAGTGACTAAGATTGCCCGTGCAAAAGTATCCTTGGTATGTTGTGGTGTATTGAAAAATACAAGCGGCTGCAAGCCCAGAAACAAATAGCGGCCAGGAAACCTGCAGGTGAGCATATTAAATTATAGTACTTAAATACGGCTCTTCTTTCCTATGAAACATGACACAGGGATGTTGCTATGAGCTTCGAGATTATTCAGGCAGGCCACACCAAATCCAGAACACAGGCATGCCAAAGGCTTTGGGTGTGTTCAGCTCGGCAGTTACGTAAGACTCTAAGACTGAATGTTTTTCCTCACCTCCTTGTAAGATGACGAGGTGTATTACTCAGCCTGCGATAAGGCAGCCCTGTTGCGTCTTGGGGCCCAGCCTGCTCATTTTGCTGAGTAGGTCTCTGACATCTGCCCTAAAGTACGATGGCAGCACTGGCTGCATTGTGGCTGGGCTGGTTTTGAAGCAAGTTGTGATTAAGGTTGTTCCCGGCTGGTTTTCAACCCACATCGTCCTTTTAGATCTTGCCAGTCTTAACTGCAAAGTTAGTTATTCTCCTTTTCTTTCAAAAGGGATTACTCCAGTTCTCAGCTTTGCTTCGTTCTCTGCTTCTCTCTTCAGTTCTGCTGCCAGTTTTCTTTCCTTTTGGATCTTCCTTCCCCTAGTTCTTTCCTTTACGGTACTGATGTACTTTGGCTTCTTATAAACTGCCTTCCCTTTTCCCTATTTGCCTTATTACAGTCATGGCTGGTGCCCACTGGGATTAGTAAGGCAGAAGGCAGGGAGGTCAACAGTAGGTGACACCAGAGATGAGTAATTCTACCCTTGTCCCCAGCCTCCTCCCCACTGAGTTCTAACAAGGCAACACTGAAACAACATTTAGAGCGCTACGATTCCACTTTAAACAGTCATAGTTTCCTCCAAAGAATTCTGGGTTAAAATTCCCAGCATTCCCTGTGAAGAGGGATTGATTGTCCACTTTTCTGGTTTTGTGCAAATCTGAGGGATCGAAAAAGGGGTTATATAACTTACAAAGACCCTATTTAATGCCAGCAGACATTTTAACTGAATTTTTATTTTATAATACTAAATTATTTTTATTTACATTGGATCAAGTTTCTTATTATACACCACTCTAATTATAAGTAAGCGGCATATAAATTATTGAAATAAAATTCTCTAATGTCGCTAATTATAATTCTCTAATTATAAATTATTGAAATAAATTAGTAGCAAGTTTCTAGCAACCATGGTTGCTTTTGCATTTAAAAAGCAATTTTCTCTAAGGGCGCTGAGACAAGGCAGGATTTGGGGGAAACTTCAAAATGACCAGGGTTAAGAGAGTAGCTGTTCACTTTTCACAATTTGCTTCTCTTGTGGGTTTTTAAGATTATCCCTTTGCTCCTGGTTATTTTATCAAATCCCTACTGTTCTTGAATTTGCATCTAAGGAATCAGGAAGTAGAATATATGGCACTATTCAAACAACCTGTTCTCTCTTCCAAAAGTGAGCAACAGAGACAGTGCCAAACGTCAGCTGTCTTAACAATATTTGAATTGTATTGATTTACGGTTTTGATTTTGTGATGCACTGAATTACAACCACAGATGAAAGGGTATTCACGACTCGTTCCGTCCTTTGTTGTGTCGAACTACAAACCCCATGGGAATGCAAATACTACTTTCAAACCACTAACATTAAAAGAGAGACAGAGAGAAAAAAATCTATTCTGCCCTACAGTTAAAACGAAACAGAGGAGAGGAATCACAAGGGATCTTTCTGTGCAGCAAAGTGACTCAGTCGATTGCTTGCTCACAGGAGAGGCAGCCTGTGTTTCCAGGTTCTTTGATGCAATGTGTGTGTAGTCAAATTAGGAAGCCGTATCCTAAATAGCACTTGCTATGGCAACCGATTATATAATTGGATTAGGAAAGAAACTTCGTAGTAAACAAAGCAGTTACTGTGCTGTTAATAACAACCTGTTTCACTTTTCTGACTTATTAATAGCTGGTTGTAATGACTCACCCTGGTCCAGCAACATATCTGGGCACATTGAGGGGCTGCCCTTAGACAGCCCTGGTGAGAGAATCCGCAATACCACCAATCAGCTGTTTGGGGGAGAAAATGTGGGGGTTAAATTTAACCCCTTTCAAACAGCTGGTCTTGTGCTGTATTGTTTTTTCTGACTCAGTAAATATGAATGCCTGGGGTTCCTCAGGGACACCATGGGACCCTCATATACCTAAGGCACCCTGTCCCTCCCAATTCTCAGTTTTATTTTAAATCAAGGTCTTTTGCATTGACCCTACACATGCAGCAGAAGTGGGCAGGTGTTAAAATGGACTGTACTACTTTGGCTTACAAGTGGAGCACACAACTTTTGAACGCTCTGCCATGTTGTTGTTGCTTTATATATTTTTTTCTGAAGTTTTTTTTTATTAAGTTTTCCAAAATTTTACAAATACATTTCGATACATAATAAAAACTCCCTCTCCTTGTCTTCCCACCCCCTTTTCTATCCTGTTTCTGTTTCTCTCCCTCTGATGTCTTCTATCTCTTAAACCTCGACAAAGCTACGGTAATTTTCAATCCCTTCTGTTGCTCATAGTTCAAGTCCTCCTTGCTCATCATATTATAATATCGCTCATCATATTATATATTTTTTAATAATCCGAGAAGCGTTTCCATTCTTCCACAAAACCTCCGTCATTAGGTTCTTTTATTTTAGCTGTTGACTTTGCCAATTCTGCATATTGCTCAACCATTCTTCTTCAGTGGGTTATTTCTGCCTTTTAAAAGCTTCCCATTAATAGAAATTAGCACTTCCCTCGTCCTTACTTTGTTGAGTCTTTGACGCAGGGGAGCATTTGAAAATGCGACATGGTCCATTCTACTCCCTCAGGGGTCCAGACTGAGGTAAACACTGAAGGATTACTTCACAGAATAGGATTAAACTCTTTCCTTTAACCTCACTGAGTTTTGCGGTCTGTATGTCAAAGTCAGGAACGCTACGAAATTTGCGGTGATGAAACAGAAGCGATTGGCTGCGCTGCGGGCAGGCCCCATTTTCGGGGAATGCTGGGAATCAACTTCCTCCTTTACACAAGGCTCAGGATACACAATCAAAGGAGAACACTGAGTAACAACACCTCTGACTGCTATATTAAGAGTCCATGAAAAGGTAGCAAAGGCCTCTATCTGATGCAACCTTAATCGATGCAATCAGCAAGCCCTGAGTTACGTAAGAACTTTGCTCTGACAACAGCCAAACATTACATAACTGCAGTCTTGTGCTGACTTGCTTTAAATGGCTCCAGATTAATGCTTCCTTCCTTTCTTTTTTTGTTACAGGCACTTAGTTAAGAGATCTATTACGGATTCACTCTCTCTTTACATATAGAATTTATTGCAGGAAAATACACAGAGCCCTGCGTAGGTGATACTGTTCAGCTTGCTGAGCTGCAGCAGTCGATTAGCAAACATTGATGAAGCCATTTCCCTGTGAAGGGTCTGATTTAGTAGCCGTGGTGAATCTCCTAAAAAAAAAACCCTGATTAAATCCATTATCTTAGTATTACTGTTATACAGTGGTACCTCGGGTTAAGAACTTAATTTGTTCTGGAGGTCTGTTCTTAACCTGAAACTGTTCTTAACCTGAGGTACCACTTTAGCTAATGGGGCCTCCTGCTGCTGCCGCCGTGCGATTTCTGTTCTCATCCTGAAGTAAAGTTCTTAACCCGAGGTACTATTTCTGGGTTAGCGGAGTCTGTAACCTGAAGCATCTGTAACCTGAAGCATTTGTAACCCGAGGTACCACTGTAGTTGCTTTGGAAGACGATAATCAGGCATCCACACAACATGACCAGTCCAATGAAGGTACCACTGTAATAGTTTTTATCCCGACACTTTCCTTGGCACCCTACAGACTAACCTTACAGATTATGGCAGAAGATGCTATTAAGGCAAAAAGCGCTTCCAATCTGTTTTTATTTATTTATGACATTTAGAGGGCAATCTTTATCTTCCAAGGAGCTCAAGGCGGTGTCCGTAGTTCTCCCCCTCCCCATTTAATCCTCACAACACCCCTGTGAGGTAGGTTAGGCTAAGAGAGGGTGACTGACCCGAGGTCATCCAGTAAGCTGAGGGGATTTGAAACCGTCTCCCAGGTCCTAGTCCAACACTCCATGGGATCCAACTCCCGCCCATAAAATATTTGAGGGGGCTGGGCCCCCCCAAAGTTGATGGGCATTGCCATTCAAATGGTGTGTGCGCGCCATGTCATGCAGGACGGGGCCTAGCTGCCCCCCCATATTTTATTCAAGTTGGCACCCCTGCGACACTCTTAACCCTGTCATTCCCAATGTGGGGCGAATGCCCCACAGGGGCGCAATTTGATTTTTAAGGGGGGGCAATTTGAGAATGAGTTATTAACAGTTCATGGCCTTTTAGGGTTCCTACACGTGAATAGGAGTTCACTTTTTGAATAAGAAGAATTTTAAGTCATGGGGCAGGCCGGCATCGGGATTTTAGAGATGCTTAGGTGGGGCATGGCCAAAAAAAATGTTGGAAACCACTGCTCTAACCATTATGCCACACTTCTTCTTTTGCAAGGAAAGATGGCGTAAAGGGCCTTACCATTTGTTATCAGCCAACGTTCTGTTAATTATGTAATTAGCACCGCCTGTACTTTCTGCATTTCATTTCCCTGTGACCTCACTGCTTAGTGCAGGGGTCTGCAACCTTTAAGACAAAAAGAGCCACTTGGACCCGTTTCCGAAGAAAAAACAACTGGGAGCCGCAAAACCATTGCGACATTTAAAACAAATATATCTCCGGAGCCGCGATCTGACAGCGGGTGGGAAGGTGACATCGGGACGGTGCGTGACTAACGCACGCACCGCCCCCATACGACGTCACAGCCAGTACAGCGCCCGCCACAGTGAGGAGTGTCGGGGCGCACAATGCGCCTCCTCCCCTCGCTAGTATCCGCCCCGGAGCCGCGGCAAAGATGTAAAAGAGCCACATGCGGCTCCGGAGCCGCGGGTTGCAGACCCCTGGCTTAGTGTGTTTACAAGTGTCCCAGCCCAAAAAAGTGGATTAAGCTTATGCCTTAATAAATGGATTGTTTACGATGCCAAAAAGACTTGCAGTTGTTTCCGATACAACAGACTAACAAGGAAATAGTTACGGCGGGTTTTAAGAACCTTTTACAACCACTCTTTTCAAACACTGCAGCTCACGTTAAGCCTTGTGACTACGAGACCTTGCTTTTAACTTGGCAGTTACCCTTTCCCTCGTACATCATGTTCTCATTATCGTATCTCAAACGCGACTGAAGGTATTGTGTGTGTGTGTGTGTGTGTTTTACCTCTCTTTTGTCTCTACACTTGTCAATCTCCTTCTTGAGCCAGTCAGCTCTTTCGAAGGATTCCAGGCTGTTCACGGCATAGACGAGAACAAAGCCGTCTGCGAGGGAGAAATAATGTTTGGGGAACTCCTCTCCTTCTTGCACCCCCCTGGTGTCGTACAGGCGCAACTGTTCTTTCACTCCTCGGTCCGTTTCCGCCAAAGCCACATACACATCTTCGCTTGTGGCGCTGCATTCTGCACCTGTTGTTTTCAAAAAGGAGAAACAGAATTCTTAGCGAACTTGTAATCAGCTCTGGCCTGGACAAATTCACAAAAGGTGCATCTATACAAGCAATTGTTTTGATTCGGTTTTGTATTTGGTATGAATACCTTCATACTGTTGTGGCTTACGGCCAAACAAGTACAAACAACTCAAGACTCATATTAATGGTACTAAATGCAAAAGGTGTGTCTCTCTCTCCCGCCCCAAAGTCGAATCGAAAATACAGTGGTACCTCGGGTTAAGTACTTAATTCGTTCCCGAGGTCTGTTCTTAACCTGAAACTGTTCTTAACCTCAAGCACCACTTTAGCTAATGGGGCCTCCTGCTGCCGCTGCGCTGCATGATTTCTGTTCTCATCCTGAAGCAAAGTTCTTAACCCGAGGTAATATTTCTGGGTTAGCGGAGTCTGTAACCTGAAGCGTCCGTAACCTGAAGCGTATGTAACCCGAGGTACCACTGTACACTGGCTGGCACACACTTCTGTGACTGGCACACATTTTGACAAGCAACAAGTTTGCTACTCGTTGTCAACAAGCAACATTGAGAACCGCTTTACTGGCGCCATCCCAGCCGTGACACGATTATGGTTTTGGATTATTTGTTAAATAAGAAAGGCAGGCATCTGTAAGTGTCTCTGGAAGGGCAGAAGGGGAACAACGTCCATCTCTTACCCACATTGTGCTTGCCATAGAGGACCTGCTCCAGAATGGCGGTCTTCCCCACCGAGGCCATTCCGCAAACCAGCACTTTGTAGCCCTTCCCCATCTTCTTTCAGGCTGCGGAGACTGGGCCCGGGGAGCAATCCTGTCCAAGCACCACAAAAGGTCAATGGCATTTATTACCGTCCAGCAAGAAGCCAGCATTGGAGCATGGCTGCATTCACACACACGAAGAGGAGGTCACAGGCTTGCCAGGTCAGTGCAGCAGTTTCAGCCAAAGTCTCTCCTACTTTAGCCAAGGTATGTCCAACAGGTCATGGCCAAGGAGGAGACAGCTTTACTACCATATTGGCCCGAATATAAGCCACACTTCCCCCCCCCCCAAATTCCAACTGTGAAAAGTTAAAGTGAAGCTTAAATTCACGACCTTACAAAAATTGGCTTTTGTGATATCGCTGCTGAAGCAGACATACGGAAAATGGAACAAAATAATGTTTTCATGCCGATTTGCAAGCTCGAGACTGTTGTGCAATTAATTCTAATGTCATTTGTCGCCTTCCCCTTACTTTACAGTGCAGTATTGATTTTTTAATTTGCATTTATGGTGCTACGATTTATGGGCGGAATTGCAGCAATTGAAAAGCGATTTTAGCAATTGTACGGCAACTTTTGAGGGCTTGCAAGATCAAAGGCTTGAATTGGCTTGGCATATGGTAAAATAAAATCACTATTTTAGTCACTGAATTTAATGGACTTTTTTCTTTTTCTCTTCAATTTTAAGGAAGCGGCTTATATTTGGGTATTGTCTTTTCCGCCCCCCTTCATTTTTAAAGGTATGACTTATTTGCGGGTGTGGTTTATATTTGAGCCAATACGGTACGATCCCAGGTTCAGATGCTGCTGATCTCAAAAGCCCACCAGGAACAATGCAGCTTCAGTCACAGTAAGCCATGTTCCAGCTGCTCTCTGGGACATGCGAACCAGGCCAGTGAATGGCAGCCATTTCAGACATGGGGCTTTCCCAGCCCTGTTTAGGAATGCCAGGGATTCAACATGCCAAGCATGTGTGCTAACACTGAACTATGGCACTTACTCAAAGGAATAGGGGTCCCTTCTGTTTCTAAGGGGTTGCATGGGCACAGACCTCAGATTAATGGTGTGATAATGGCGTCAAATGGATTACTTCCATTGCAAGGACTGTCAGGTATTGGACAATAACAGACTATTAAAAGACTAAAGGCCATGACTATTTTGCATGTGTACAACTGACGTGCAACCAATGTGCAAGAGGGCAAAACGGGGTGTTGCTGCCCATATTGCAAGGAGATTCACTGAAACACAAACATAAGACTAGCTGTGGTATAAGGGATTTTATCAAGAATGGATTGTATTTGGTTTGAGCAATAGTCTGGAGGCAGAATTAAAGGGACTCAGACCTTGAAGTACAGCACGTGGGAAGCCACAAAAAAATTGTAACTGACTATTTTGAATTACTCTTAAAAAACCAAATAAAAATTATTTCAGAAATAAAACAAAAACGATTCAACCCGGGATGAATTTCGAGTTCACCTTGAACTAAGAAGGCAGACACGACCCCTTTTTTCAGTGCCAAGTCTCAACCCTGGAAGCTGCAAAAAAAAGAGAAAAAAGTAGAGGTGAGAGTTCCTCTGATCGTGTCTAGAGCGCATTGCTCAAAGCATTATCTCTGTACTGTTTGCACTTAAGGAGAAGTGTTTCTAGGGGAAATTACATGACTTTCCGGGAAATACAAGGCAGAAACTGCTCCTAGCAGGAATCCAGGAATCTGCGGAACTAGCAGGCGGGGCCTCGATCCCTCCGGCGTTTTCTTCCAAGCCTGCCAAGGCACGTGGCCTCTTGAACTACATTTCCCAGCAGGCACCTGAGCGCAGCCCTTTCCCCCCTCCTCCTTCCTCTTGGACGTCACGGCGTTGCCGCAAAGCCTTGTGGGAAAGCAGGCCTCTTCCTTTCCGGCTCCGGGCGCCGCTAGGTAAGGTTGGCGAGCTGGAGGCCGCCCGTAGTTTAATCCGTCGGCATCCTAATTCGGGGAGGCCTACGGGGGTCCGCTCGGGGCGCCGCCCCACGGTCGGTAGCTGTGGGGAGAGGCGGGTCGGGGTCTCTGGGCGAAGGGAGGCCGGGGAGGCGTAATTCCGCCGGGTTCGGTTGGGAAGGCGGCGTGGCCTGGGCCTACAGACCGAGGCGGCTCCGCCAGACGGAGCTTGCAGAGGCCGAGGGGGAAGGCGAGGAGAATCATAGAGTTGGAAGGGACCCCGAGGGGCATCTAGTCCAGCCCCCTGGAATGCAGGAATAAGCTCGTGATGCCTAAAAGGCTGGCGCTCGGGCGCTGCTTGCTCCTGAGTAAACCTCCGAGGAGGGACCATTGCTCACATGCTTTACGTGTCGACGGCCGCGGGTTTCAGCCCTGACACCAACCAATAAATGGGGTTAAGGTAGCAGGTGATGTTGGGAGCCACTGCCAGCTCCATCAGATGGTTTATTTACGTATCTCACATCCCTCTCTTTTAAGATGGGGGGGGGGCAAGTAATTGCTTCCAGGTTTTTGCTTCTGCAAAAATGGGGCATGCATTGTGCGAAGCAAGTAGATAATAAATGTCCTGCTACGGTCTCAGGTAGCTTATTGTTTGTGCCCACGCAACTTAAAACAAGTGAGAATTCTCTGAAGTTACAAGTTATTCACCTTTAGGCACCAGGCAAAAATGTCGCTTTTTAACCAGGCCTTTGGTTGACCTGATCAACATCCTATACCCTTTAAAATGTGGCTCTTTTTTGCGGGTAGGGGGGTGTTATTGGATTATTGTTTTTATTTTGATTGTGATCTTGTGATCTTTTTTGTGAACTGAGACCTCCAGGTATAGGGCAGTATATATATTGTGATCTTTTTTGTGAACTGAGACCTCCAGGTATAGGGCAGTATATATTGTGATCTTTTTTGTGAACTGAGACCTCCAGGTATAGGGCAGTATATATATTCAATGAATGAAAGCCTGTGTGTTTGTGTTCTGAAAGAGGTTATTGGGTAAAGGAGTGAGTTTTATAAAAAGAATTGGGATCATGTAGAGCTGGAAGGGACCACAAGGGTCATCTAGCCCAACCCCCTGCAGCGCAGGAATATTTTGCCTGATGTAGAGCTTGAGCCCACAGCGTTGAGATTGAGCCTCATGCTCTACCGACTGAGCTGTTGAGTGACTGTTCTTTCTGGATTGAGGGAATAAGGTACAGCCCCTGAATGCTACAGGAGCTTGCATTTGCTGAAGTTATTGCAAGGGGCTTCACCAGGCTGGAAAATCATGCAAATCCTTAGTTGTTGTGGGCTGTCATGCCATAGATCAGTTGCAGGTCAGTGGTAGATCACAGGCTTTGCGTGCAAAAAGTTCCAAGTTTTGATCCTGGCAATTCCAGCAGCAGTGGGAAACATTCTAGTCTGAAACCCTGAGGAACTGCTGCCAGTCTCTGTAAACCAGGGATAGAGAAGCTATGGTTTCCAGATGTTAATTATATTAGCAACTTTCATCAGCCCTAGTCATAGACAGTGGTCAGGAATAATGAAAAGTTGTAGTCCAGAATGCCAGAAGATCTGGATCCCTCGCATAAACAAATGATAGGTTAATAGTCTGACAAAGTAAAAAGCAGCTTCCTTTGCTGCTATGTATCTCATACATACTATTTAAATGTTAATGACATATTAATGAAATCAAGCACAGTATAGATCAGTAGCTCAGAGGGGACAAAGTTGGTTTTGAGAGGTTTATGAACAAAATGTGTTTCGTTATGGACCACTTTTATTACTAGAGAATGGAAAATACAGTTGCTTTTTTGTTTCCTGAGAGCAATGAAACACAGTGTGATTTAAACGTATCACTTTTTTGCAGATAAGCCAGGATGGGTGCCTACAAATATATCCAAGAACTATGGAGGAAGAAACAGTCAGACGTGATGCGCTTCCTCTTGCGTGTCCGCTGCTGGCAGTATCGTCAGTTGTCTGCCCTGCACCGAGCTCCCCGTCCCACCAGGCCAGATAAAGCTCGCAGGCTGGGATATAAAGCTAAGCAAGGTAACTGCAACCCAAAGCAAGTAGCAGATGTGAACTTGCTCTAGTCACTTGGTTATGCACTAAGACTGGTAGTATTGAGCAATGATAGCTATGTGCGATAATTCCTACTAGTTATTATAATTGTAACGTGATAAGATAAAAGTAATCTTGCTTACCTTCCATGCAAGCATATAGGCAACTATCCCAAGCTACAAGAGCATCCATGATAAGTCAGGATGTTAGAATGGAAACTTTGCCTAAGACTATTCTGAGGCTGAAAATCTTGCCACTGTACTTGCATTCACACAGCTGAAACACGATTCCCATCATTTTTCATGCTTTGTGCAATTTCAGATGAACAAAAATAGATTATAAAAGCATGGGATTGTCCAGTAACTGAAGTAGAGTATTTGTGGCATCATTAGCAAATTCAAAAGTATTGCTAGAATGTAAAACGCAAATGCTAAATAAACAGTCACTTGTAAAACTGCAGATTTCTTCACTGCTTTAACACATTATCCTGTTGTGTCTTAGGTTACGTCATCTACCGCATTCGTGTTCGCCGTGGTGGTCGTAAACGTCCAGTCCCTAAGGGTGCTACTTACGGTAAACCAGTGCATCATGGTGTCAACCAGCTGAAATTTGCCCGGAGTCTGCAGTCTGTAGCAGAGGTGGGTATTGCTTGTGATCTGCATCAGTCTTTTGTATTGCCCCCTGGTCCCACTGAAGCTTGATCAAATCTGTGTCGCATTGGTTTATCTCCTTTAACTCATGCCAGATTAGAAGAGTATTTGATGCGTATGAATCAGCTTTTAATATGGTTGCGTTGGTAAACTCTGATGGAGTAGCATGTTAAGCAGCATTTATTGTGAGAATAAGGCAGTATGGTTAATGAATAATTATTTCCCACAGAGCAGTTTTTCCAGTGTCAAGTTGGCATTTTGGAATTCTAGTTTCTAGGTGGCATATGCAAGTATTTTGGTTTGCAAGGTGCTGTAGCCATCCTCTCTATAGAGACAAAGAACTGTCTTTGTTGTAAACTGAAATTAGATATGTACAGAAATCAGTGAAAGAGCCAGTGCATAAAACTATGTAACAGATTAAAGTGATTACCCTTTTTTGCAGTCAAATTGAATGCCCTTGGTGGTCAGATTTTTAGTTACTGTCGTTATATTTATGTACTTGTTACATTACTTGTTATTCAGATAGCCACACTCTACAGTGGTAGAGGTACAGTACAGTGGTACCTTGGTTCTCAACCTTAATCCATTCCGGGATTCCGTTTGACTACTGGAACTGTTTGAAAACCAAGGTGCGGCTTCTGGTTGGCTGCAGGAGTTTCCTGCACTCAAGCGGAAGCCGTGTCAGATGTTCAGCTTCCAAAAAAAGTTCACAAACCTGAACACTTACTTCCGGGTTTGCGTTGTTCAGGAGCCAATATGTTCAACAACTAAGCCGTTTGGGAACCAAGGTACTACTGTATAGTATTTTGGGAAATATAGCACAGGGAAGTATTTTTAAGAAGTAGGATAACATCAGGTATGGCAGCTAGGTGAGTTTAGTTGTGCCGTACAGTATTTGCTTTCCCCATTTCTTGGCCATATAGCATCTCTGTAATGAAGTAGATTGCCATGGTATGTTCTATTGTGGTAGCGCTAACAAATCAATTTTCCTCCACAGGCCAATTTGAAAGATAAAATAGTTGTTCATAGAATGGTAGAGTTGGAAGGAGTCCTGAGGATCATTTAGTCAAACCCTGTGCAATGCAGGAATATGCAGCTGTCCCTTACTGGGGTTGAACCTGCAGCCTTGGCATTATCAGCACAACGCTCTAACCAGCTGAGCTACCCATCCCTGTAAGGAAAGAGTTTCTCTATGGAGAAGTCTTTGTCACTGTAATTCTTAAACGTCATGGCTGAATGTTTGGTTCCTTTGTATGAAACTTGTCACCTTGTTTTCCTGATGCCTGTAATATTCACAATCCCCAATTCCTCCCTTTTATGTGCTTACGTGAGGTTGTTTTTCCCCTGCTAGGAGCGTGCTGGCCGCCATTGTGGAGCCCTGAGAGTACTGAACTCTTACTGGGTGGGTGAAGATTCCACCTACAAGTTCTTTGAAGTCATTCTGATTGATCCTTTCCACAAGGCTGTCAGGCGCAACCCAGACACCCAATGGATCACCAAGGCAGTTCACAAACACAGAGAGATGCGGGGGCTGACCTCCGCTGGCAGGAAAAGCCGTGGCCTCGGCAAGGGCCACAAATTCCATCACACAATCGGTGGCTCACGTCGCGCTGCTTGGAGGCGACGCAACACCTTGCAGCTTCACCGTTACCGCTGATTCTTTTGCATATAATTTTCTCGTTATAATAAATCAGCCAGAGTTCACATTTCCACTGTCTTGTGTTTTCATTGGGCACTGGGTGTACTCCACATCAGCTCCTTTTAAAAGAATTAAGAATCTAGCAACATATCCAGTATCTCTTCCATTACAGTTGTCACTCGAATAACAGGGTTATAAAAGTTCTGGTGAAGTTGAAAGCTTTTTGATGACCAAAAA